AAATGTAAAATACTTTAATGTCTCTTATGTTAGAGTAATACTAATATCTCATAAACGATCGATATCTGCAATACTTAAGAGTGAATATAATAGTGTTTTATTGATTCTTGCATTCATTTAAATATTTACATTTTTTTTGAAAAATATTATACTATTTTAGGAAATTATATTTATATATTGTGTGTCTATCATCTCAAATTTATTGATACAATTAAATATTTATAACATTTATTTAAGATTAGTAAATATATGAGAAAATAACACAAGTTATGTCAAGTTATTGTTATATTAATTTTTTATATGCACTGTATATTATACAGTAACTTATTATATAAATTATTTTGACACCAATTTTAAAAGTCGTGTCATTCATATAATTTCAGTCAAAAGTTGCTAATAATAGCTTAAGAATACGGCAATAGTCTTATAAAATAATGTGCTAATGTTTCAAATGAATAAGCAATAACACACAAAGAATCTTAAAAAAGTTGTGAAATAAAATTATATATATTTAACTTACTATTAGTACTTAGTGACTTAGAGTAATCTAAAATAGACTAATAATTTAAGTTAACTTTACAGAAAATCATTAAATATTTTAAAATGATTATTCAGATTCCATTATAAATAATATTTGAAAGTGAAAAGTTTGCACTAAAAACATTGGATAGTAACCTTCAATAAGTTAACTTTCAATGGATTTCTATGTCATCGATGATGTTATAAAATAAGGCGACCCCTCCCTGACCACTAAACTGGTATCTACATTACTGACCTTACTGTACCTACTACTAACTAAGGGGGCAGTTGGAAAGGGCTGGGAGACATTGAATTTGAATGTTTGAAACCAGAAACTATGATAAATGGCAAAAAATGCAGCTGGTTACAAATTCACGCATTACACTAACATTCATTTCATTCTAGATTTTTAGCAAAATTTAATTATCTAGGACTTTATCAATTAAGTTGAAAGATTTGTTATGAGCCAATAATAAATAAAATTAAAATCCACAATAATAATAATAGTTGTATTTGGATATAATCGTAAAACAAATGAAATGATTTCATAAATAAAACCAATATTTATGATATCTTTTAAAAAACCCGTATAACTTAAAAAGGTTTTATAATTAGTATCGTATACACTGTATACTATACAGGGTAGTATTAAAACTTTTGATAGCTTAATATAGTAATACACTGGTAAATGGTTTCATTCATTTCCCGGATATAATATGAGATAACTGTTATCCATGTTATACAGTATTAAGTACCCGGATAAATGGTCGGATAATATAGAAAGTGATGAACTATTGTATTGTTATCTTAATTGAACACTACTTCTACCCATGAAACCAATGATTTGACAATATTTAGCAAAATTTATTTTAACATTTTATTCACATTATATTAGGAAGAAAAGGCATATTTATGTCATTGCATACAATAGTTGGTACGAACCCGTGGATCATGGGGTCGACAGCCCACCCCTACAACTATTTTGCTAATTTTAGGGGTAATACTTGACGGGATACCGGAATAACCGGTTTATTGGGCGCACCCCTTAACCTAACTTTGACCCACTTTCATATTTATGACATACCAGTCCAAACACAACTCATTAAGTAATTTAATAGTTAAAAGTATTTCCATTCAAACATTACATCTGTTTTAATCATTTGCCTGTTTTACACATTAATTCAGTGTTCATTATAAAGTATCAGGGTAATTATAGACTAAATTACAAGTTTTATCAAAACTTGTCAAACATATCGTGATACTAATTACTAATACGGTAATTAATAATATGTGCTAGTTCATGTACAGTAATACCGTATATAGTGAGGGGTTGTATAGTAATAATGGGGGCATATATTAAATATTGACTCAATCGCTGATAGGACTGAACTCACTGCGAGTTTGGGGGGGAATTGGGCTACAAATGAATGTAACAGTGAATGGGAGTGTATGTCGAGTGGGGCAGAGGTGGGCCGACACCCCCCTAATGCCAGCAATGAGTTGAACCTGAGTTGCAGTGAAACGTTGGATGCATTGAGGGGTCGTTCACTCACAACGTGTTGTGTTTACCACTGATTCATGTATTGGATTTGGTTTTCAAGTGATTCGCTGAAGACTTGTGTCAAATGAGTGACACTTTGGACACCGTTTGGTCACAACTGTCTTCGTGCAGTGTCTGTGGGAAGCGTTTGGACACCAATTCGTGTCCACAACTGCTTCCGTGTTGTCATTCTTCGTGCAAAGACTGCATCGAAGACAACGCCAACCAAATCAATGACTTCCACAACACATCCAATGGTAGGTCTTGTGGCCAATGAGTCCACGTGTTTGCCGTTCAGTAGATATCATATGAATGAATGAATGGTTACTCACATTATCTCTCGTCCAATGAGTGGTCAAAATGGGATCACTTTATGAGACACACACTGAAGACATGTTGCGATTGAATGAGTGCTGCGATTGACGTCTAATCCAGAGTTTGCTCTCTATTTGTGTTTTCAGTCAACACTTCATTCACTCTCTCATTGATTGCAAACTTTTTATCACTTTTTTAATTGTTTATCATTTCATTCATGAATACAAATGTTATAAAAATACATTTTTTATGGTTATTAACACATATTTAGCTATTTTTATGAGAAATTTAATACCAATTCAACAATAGATATGTAATAAGAGATGGTTTTCAATGAGAGTTCAATAGCCGTTACATTAGTTTATAAACTTTTTTCCAATGATTTTAATTACAATTTTGAGTAAAAACTAATGTTTTTCGTATCAATTAATTGACAGAAAAACCCCAATTTCTGTGTAAGATCTGTGATCAGGAATACACACCCGAAGAGTGCATTGACAACACATTTCAACTGATCTATTGGTCCAAAGCGAAGAGCGGTTCCAATGATAACCCGTTGTGTGTGTCATGTGATGGCGAACCCAAGCCGGCAGTCATTCGTTGCGAGTCTTGTGCCGGTCATTGGATTTGCGAGGACTGCCTCAGACTTCACAACACCATCAAAGTCTTCAAAGACCATGTGTTGGACCACACCTCCAAAGTGTGTCCCGACCTCACGCTTAAGACACAGACCACGTGTTCCGAACATAACGTAAGAACTTTTAAGACCAATGTTTGTCATAACATATGATGAATGACTGATTGATTGTATGGTATAGGAGGAGAAGATAACGGTGTACTGCAACACCTGCCGGAAGGCCTTCTGCGCCCGATGTATACTCCGTGACCACAACCTCCATGTCTATGAAGACTCCAAAGACAGCATTCAAATAAATAAGACATTCGAGTCGTTGCGCTCACGAGTGGCACAAATCAAAGAGAAGAGAGACTTTTGCGAGACTACACTCCAGACGTTTGAGACCATCGAGACGGACATCGATCGACAAAAGAATGTCTGTATCGACAAAATCAAAGCAGTTGTCAAAAGATTGCGGACTAAAGTGGAGGAAATGGGAACCGCTCTCTTGGAAAGGGTAAGACGTTTGAGACCATCGAGACGGACATCGATCGACAAAAGAATGTCTGTATCGACAAAATCAAAGCAGTTGTCAAAAGATTGCGGACTAAAGTGGAGGAAATGGGAACCGCTCTCTTGGAAAGGGTGACCACTGTCTGCACTCAGAAGGAAAGGGATTACAGTACGAAGAAAAACGAGTTGAAACGTATGACACAATCGTTTATATTCATCGAGCAGTTTATGTCAGCCATTCTGGACCTCAACGAACCCATGAGTGTCCTGAAGGCACAGGACCTCCTCACCACTCAGGTATGCAATTGGTTTGGTTTTAGTGTTGTCTTTGTCTGCTATTAATATTCATTTGACATAACAGTTGCAGAAGTTGTTGAATAAGCCGTGCAGTCATCCAGACTTCATAAAACCATTTAAGATCGAAGTGAAGGACCAGTTATCTGATGGCAACGGCGATGGACTCGATATAAACAAAATGATTGACGGGGTGTTGAATATGTGCTTTAGTGTCGTGACCAGTGATGACACTCCCAAACCAAGTGCTCAAATGACTAACACAGCTAATGCCTGTACTAATAAAGACAACACTGGGTTAGACGATGACATCACAGAGATATTAGAATTACCGAACTCTCGGCCCAACTCTCGAGGACAGACACGTCAGACACAAACACAGACACAGTCACAGTTGCCGACAAAAGTATTGGTGGCCACTATAGGTAATACACAAACCACAGCACAACACACTTATGATTATTATAACCAAAACCCGCAATTAAAACAAATGTTGACCGCAAACCCAATGTCCGCTGTGTCCAAACCCACGCCTCTCACGAGGGCTTTGCGAAATTTGTGTTTATGATATTCGTTATGAAGGTATGTAAATGTTTTATACAGTTTGAGTGACTGTTTGAGACAGTGTGTTTTGCCATAAGGTCAGTTGTGACGTTTGAAGCGGGTTGTTTACAGGGGATATGGGAGTCCAGCTGTATATCGCGGACCAGTTCCCGGTCTCCAAAGCTGTCAAATGGTTCAGAATGTCGCCACTCCTCCCAACTATATGAGTATCGTGACGATGGCTAACCCACCAAATGTTGCCATCACTCAGTCATACAATCCTACCACTAATGCAAATGCTATACAAACGGCCAACACTTATGGGTAAGAAATAGTCATTTGTTTACTATCTATTGACATGATATTTCATTTTAGACATAACATAAGGACGTATGCGGGCGGCAACATAACAGCACACACTGTCCCACAACTGTCCAATACTTGCACAACGAATATGTCGAGCGGACAGGCATCACATATGGGCAAAACAACTATCATATACCCGCCCAACACTAACCCACCACAACAACGACAACGGCTACAACAAAGCCAGTTATTGGCGCGACTTAATCAACCGCAACAACACAACCAACAAGCGGGCGTCCAATTTCAGTATATTCAGCCCCAACATACTGTCCCACAAAACCAACTGACCCGTCAGTCACTACAACAACATGTTCTCCAAACACAAACCCATCACAAATCTCAGTCACAAAGTCATCTCTCACTTCAAACTCAATCACAACTCTCCCTTCAATCACAAGCACCACAACATACACTCCAAACACAATCTCTATCACAACAACCCCTTCAGCCACAGACACCACCACTTCAGCCTAATTCACACCAATCTTATGCAACGCATGCCTTACGTGACTACGAGAAACAGGAGAGACTAAAAGCCAGACAACGAGAAGAAGACAAATTGAAACGTTTGGCAGAACAGCAGAGAATCAATGAAATCGCCCAACAGTTACAGCAATCGAGTCATT